AATAATAATAACAGTTGTAGAATAGACTGACCACAGTGTAAAATATTCTAACATACTATCCAATCAGGTAACCGTTTCATCTCACTTACCAACATCTGGGTAAGTGAGACATGCACACAAGTATTGTTACTCTCAGTCTCTATAAAAGAAAACTTGTTTTTCCCTAACTCTGAGAAGCAGTCTGAGTGTTCTCCCTACTGTAGTCATCACCCTCCCCCACTACTATAACACTTATTTTCTGTTTCTGTATTTTATTATTGAATAAAGCTTCTCCTTATCAGAGTCTGGACTTTTTGTTTGTTTGCTATTTGTTAAAAATGAGTTGATATTCTGACCATAAGTCTTCATAGATTTTCAAAGACGTTGAGATTTTAAGAATTCTAACAACTTTCACAGAATGAAACTGTAGATTTAAATACTACTTAAGGACTACAGTTTTTTCTTACCAATTGGCCTGGTTATTTGGAGAAAGGAGACATGGAAAAACTTTATTATTCAAACCTCAGAATCATTGCAGAAGAGGATCAGGTCAGATAATCTTCATGCTTCAATTCTAATACTTTTCTTATGTCTTTTGGTTTAAAGTCTCATGTATTGATCAATTTTGTAAGGTTTCATTTTTTTACATGAGTACATATTGGTTAAATTAATGAGTTGGGCACAGTACTGAAACCAATTTTTTAAAAGAATTAATAAAAGATGAACCTCAGAAAGTTCAAATAACCATTTAAGTTCTAGTTATAATGAATTATTTTTAGCCTAAATGTAATAACTTCTGACTTTATATAAGAAACTAAACAATTTTTCAAGATGACATGCTGCCAAATGAAGACAAAGACCCAACTGATCCATTTTTTTTCTTATTAATAATTGCTTTGTATACCACATAGCATGACAAAAGTAATTTGCCTCTTAATGCATGTTTCTATTAATAATTCTCAGAATAGGGTAAGCACTGGGGGAAGGTGAGAAGCTAATCATTGATAACTTATAGTCTTTAACTCTAGTAATGCTACTGATTTCACTTGTGTTCTTACGTGTCATTTTGCTGACAATGAAAAAGAAATGACAAAGAAGAAGAAACATCTATTCCCTGAGTAAATTTCAGTAAATGAAAGAAGTTGGAAAACTGGCTGCATGTTGCCGACTCGGTATTGATTGCTGAGTCCACCAATACTCATCTTTAATGGAGTATCCTGAAGTTACAGAGAAGGTTAACAATAGAGTCTACTAGAAAGTAATTCCCATCCTGAAAACAAGCTTCAAGTGTCACCCAGGCCTTGACATTTCATGTGCAGACCAGGGCACAGCAGTGGCTTCTGATTTTCCTCTTTTTACTTGGGAATGGATGGGAAGAAAGAAGAGGCCAGATTTATTTGTGGGACCAAATTTTTTTTTAAACTTCTCCTCCTTCCTTGTATCTGCAAAATAAAAGGTATGCCTGTTAGCAACTTGCATTACAAACACACTTCTCCAGAATTTACTTATACAACTAATTTATTTAGAGATTTTAATCCTCCTAGAAAGAAAG